TGGACGAGAAGACCTGGCTCTCAGTCTCTGCTCTAATTCATCCCAAAGGTGTTCTATTGGGTTGAGGTCAGGACTATGTGCAGGCCAGTCAAGTTCATCCACACCAGACTCTGCCCTCCAGGTCTTTATGGACCTTGCTTTGTGCACTGGTGCACAGTCATGTTGGAAGAGGAAGGGGCCAGCTCCAAACTGTTCTCACAAAGTTGGGAGCATGGGATTGTCCAAAATGTCTTGGTATGCTGAAGCAATCAGAGTTTCTTTCACTGGAACTAAGGGGCCCAGCCCAGCTCCTGAAAAACAACCTCACACCTTAATCCCCCCTCTACCAAACTTTACACTTGGCACAATGCAGTCAGACAAGTACCGTTCTCCTGGCAACCGCCAAACCCAGACTCGTCCATCAGATTGCCAAATGGAGAAGCGCGATTTATCACTAGAGAACGTGTCTCCACTGCTCTAGAGTCCAGTGGCGGCGTGTTTTACATCACTGCATCCGACGCTTTGCATTGCACTTGGTGATTGATGCATGGCTTGGATGCAGCTGCTCGACCATGGAAACCCATTCCATAAACCTCTCTGCACACTGTTCTTGAGCTAACCTGAAGGACACATGAAGTCTGGAGGTCTGTAGTGATTGACTCTGCAGAAAGTTAGCAACCTCTTCGCACTATGCGCTTCAGCATCCGCTGACCCCGCTCCATCAGTTTATATGGCCTACCACTTCCTGACTGAGTTGCTGTCATTCCCAAACACTTCCATTTTCTTATAATACAGCTGACAGTTGACTGTGGAATATTTAGGAGCGAAGAAATTTCATGACTGGATTTGGTGCATAAGTGGCATCCTATCAGTTCCACGCTGGAGTTCACTGAGCTCCTGAGAGCGACCCATTCTTTCACAAACGTTTGTAAAAACAGTCTGTATGCCTAGGTGCTTCATTTTATACACCTGTGGCCATGGAAGAGATTGGAACACCTGATTCTGATCATTTGGATGGGTGAGCAAATAGCAAATACTTTTGGCAATGTAGTGTGTGTATATATATATATATATATATAT